TATATATAGTTCAGAGTTTCATGAAATTAAATGTTTTCAAAATATTTTTAATTGAATATGAGAAAATATATAATTGGTATTAATTTAGATGTCGAATTTAAATTACTTTTGATCTAAAATTTATATTTGTATTATCGCAGCTGTTTATATAATTTTAAATGGATAAAACTGCAGACATGAACTTAACATCAATTTTTGCTATTAATTTTTTAGTGATGCGGTATGATTATATTATTCGGTTATATTTGTTAGCGTATTTCAGCTGTCTGCATTTAATTCCTATGTGTACGATAATCCACAAATAATGATGACTCAGATTGAGAGACTAACAGAAATGGTTTGTTTTTTCGTCTATTTTTGCTAAAGTTTTATACAAATGGTATGCCAACAGGTGGTATCATCTATCAGTTGTGTCTGTAGGCCAAAGCCCGGCCTTCGAAGTTGACTTTCTGGTTGCTCTTCAGCCCGCAACTCATAAATGCAAATAAATCCGACCAAAAACTATTTCATTCAAAATTCAGTGAATGTGCGGATGTATGCTTGGGGTTTGCTAGTTTCTGAGTGTGTGTTTATGTGTGTGTGAGTGTGCGAGTGTGTGAGCGAGTGTGATGTCTGCGTTGGAGAGTGAAACTTAAACAGCAACCATTTGGCATGTTTGCCAAGGCGTCGACAACTTTAGCAACTTGAGCGCTGCCACGCCCACTTTCCGGCGCATTTATATGCATACGCAAAGTTGGTAATATGGTGAGTTAGGCCAGGCGAGGGAAGCGCTGAGAAGGATCCGCTGCTTCAAGACTTGACTATCTGAACAGCGGCAGCAGTTTCTAATTAGAAGTTTGGAGAGCAAACCATTTTTGTTAGCACCTGCGACTATCCTGACTCACCTGCCGAACGGATGTAGCAGATAGACGAGAACTGGATTCGGATCTGGATAGAGCAGCAGCTGAATCTAAAGCGAAGTCTATTGGCAGCCCGTGCTTGCACAATAAACAGAGCGTGTTAAAGGGAAGCTGTCTGTCAAATCGTTTGCTATTTAATTTATGCCTTTTGCTGTGAATATTGTAGTGTTACACGTTAATTACGTCTATAAACTCTCTCGCACTCTCACCCTTTCACTCGTTCAATTCCCCCATCGTATATTTATCGCTCAGCCGGTTCGAGCGCCTCTTGGAAACCCCAATTTCGCACACGCTCCTCTAATCACTGGCCCTAATTACGCAGAGCCTAATAAAGTAAACATTAAACTCGTTGTGTGCTAATCAATGTTGCAAACTACAGCCTAAATATACACCTATACACACACACACACGTACACAGTCACGCCCACGCATAAACAACTTTTAACTGAGAGATATTTAATAATTGGGTTCGAGGTCTGTCTTGGAAACCGAATCGTATTTCACTGGAAAATTGCCTCAAAAATGTTAGGCTCTCTGCCGCCACAAATGAAAATAACTCGGGGCATACACAAATAGAACAAGGCAGATAGACTTCTTGAGTAAGAAGGATAAAAGAGGAAGGACGTACGCATATCTCCTCCTTTAGCCGTGGTGCTATCTTTGATAATTTGATAAAACGTTATCCTTGAGCATCCGATCAAGTATTGTTTCATAATTGAAGGAATTTAATTTATTCAATTGCAGCCACAAAATGTCAATCTTCTCGCCCGTGCGCCCCTTGTTTGCTTTTAATCAGTCAAAGCACATCAAATATGCTATTTATTCGCCAGCACACGCACACGCACACGCACACGCACTCGCCACCACACACGCACACCACACTCACGCATACCTGCGGAATCATATTATGTGTGCGAGCATTCCATACGCATTAAGCAAATATTTTTCTTTTGAACAACGAGAGTATGCTATAAAATGTCATAATATTATATGAAAACCGACATATTCCAAATGAAGTCATGCAGAATTAAAAATCGAATAAAAAATAAAACAGGAAAAAAGTACCAGATAAAAAAAAAAAAAACAATGACAACGATAAAAAACAACAAAATTATAATTTTTATACAAATTTTAATGCTCTATTTTAAAAGTTTTCATATAAAATAAATGACAAACAAATTAACAAGTTAAGAAAACAATTTAAAATTGATTTTTGTCGTACGCATTCTCTCTTAGCTCTTTGCATTAAATGTTTGACATATGGAAAAACAATAAGCAATAATTTAAGCAATAAATTTAAGCTACAACTTGAAAGACGAACAAAATTTAGTTTTGTAAACATTTCATATTGAAGAGAAATATACAAACATATTAAAAGCTTTCGTAACCTATCTAAGAATTGAAAACAAAAAAATTTGTATTCTATTTAAATTTATTTTTGATACTCGTATTTCAATAGTCGTTAACAGACATGATAAAGCAAACTGGGAAAACAAAAGAAATGCTGATGTAAGGTATATTTATATCAAATATTGAATTCTCATTAAATCTATTAAATAAGCAAATAAAATGTAGGTCAAACTAAGCATCGTCAATAAACTATTCTTTAATGTCGATGAATTATTTTATGCTTCATTTAAATTTACTAAATTCCTTATAAAATGTTGTCTATCAATACAAAATATAATATATTCATGCATGCATTTGTCGTTTCCGCAAAGTGCTTAGTTGGCAAAGATATTAATTGCAAGTTCAATTCGTTGCAAACAGTTTTGCATTAATTTGATACTCCTAATGCGTAAAAGGGAATTCATAAATGCAGAAGCAATAAATTATAATGTGCATATTATAAACAAGTAAGAACGTTGCAGTCGGGCGTWACCGRCTGCGGAATACTCATTCACATCCCATCAACAATTTAGTAGTTAAGTTTCGTTCTAATACTGTAGAATATACAGGTTTTTCCGATTTGCCACGCCCCAACTG